AGCCCGCGGATTAAACGTATTTTGATGATTTGATATCCTAGATGCACGGTGGAAATATGATGTCTCATTACAATCCATACCAGCAAGCAAGTCCATACCATCATGCACAGCAACCCATGCAGGTCAGTATCACTTAGGGTTCGATACTTATGTTTCGGGTAAAATATTCATAAACTTGAAGAAAGTTGTTSAGCAATAGTCCTCTTGTACGTCATACGCCGTATACGCAATGCATTGTAGGATATGTTTGGGATAAAACATGCCGGATTTCTTTGGGTTTTTTTTCGGAAACTGATCCCATAATGCATTGCAAATCAAGTAAGTGACGTAAAAGCTCCAGAGGTCTATTAGAGTGTGACTTTCCGCAACACATCGCATGATTAAGAAAATATTGTAGCATCTATCATAACCCTAACGCTTTTTGTGTTTCATTTTCCAGGGTCACGATAATGAACCTATCAAAACTCGTTTAGCTTTTCCTCAAAAATACGCTGGCGCCGTCATCGGCAGCAAAGGATCGTTCTGCAATTACATGAAAACGCTCAGCCACGCCTCAAAGGTCCATGTCTCTCCTGACGACAAGTCTGGTGAACGATTCGTAGAAATTATTGGTTCTCCTTTAGCGCAATATTTTGTAAGTATTTTAGTGCAGTTATTACATGTAAGGTCGTTTTTAGTATGTAATACACACCAAAGAAAAACAKTGAAAATTATGTCTGCTGCTGACTATTAGTTTGCTATTTCACGGGTTAAGACCAGCGACCTCAATCCGTGAAACWTAAAGTGCATTTTGTTCACTCATACATACATTAATTGCGTTTTGATTGGTCTTCAGGCTCAGCACTGTGTGTATTGCAAGCTTGCTGAACAAGGTTATAGTAATTCTGATGGCGAACTAAAACTTCGTGTAGAGGTGTCTATACCAGCCAAGGGCGCAACCCGTGGTAACAAAGATACAAATATTATTGGTCGAATTATAGGAAAAGGAGGTCAAAATGTAAGTTTAAGCTAATAATACGTCTTACATTATCTAGAATAACCGTTGCAGAATAACCGTCGCCATTTTCTGCACCAAAGCATGATGGGAGAGTTTACTACCCCGAAGAGCATGATGGGAGATATAGAACTCGCATTTTTGCATTCCCGCTAAAGTAATCTTTAAAATTTGTTTCTTTATTTCCATTACAGACGTATCATAAAAACGCACATTTTTACTAGAAACACACACGAAAAAAAGGCAATATGCTTTGTTGCGCTAAAGGGGGCGCTGCATTTAAATGTTCATTGACATTTCTGCTATAGAATGTAGCGTTATTTCGAGAGAGGTGTCCATAGGTCYATAGAAACACTATATTTTTTATTATAATAGGTAAAAGGACTCGAACATGAAACTAGAACATATGTCAAAGTAGCAACAATAGAAGATCAAGACGGCGAACCTAAAGAAGCAATCGTACAGATCGTAGGCAGTTTTGCAAGTAGCCAGGTTTGTATTCTAGAGCATAATTCCCCTTTCATTGTTCACATGTAATCATGTAAATTTATTTGCGGTGTGAAAAGCTGTTCTATCGAGGGAATTGAAAGGAAGGATAGAATTGCATATCAAAATTAATCGTGTCTCGAAGTGGGACATGGGATGCATTGAGGGTGGGTTGTTGATCCCTTGCTCGTGATGTCCATCAGCTTCTTTTCTTGATGGAACTGTATTCCCACAAATTTCAAGTAATAGAAATTTAGTTTGAATGGTGACCCAAGCTCGTTATCGAAATGTGTATCGAGTTGAATTGGCTGATTGGCGTTACATTGGGACATCTTTGTAGTCCAAAAATTCCAATGCTCAGAATCTGTGTTTAATCAAAAGACTTCTTTGTCTTCCCAGCATGCTCAATTTAGAATCAATGAAATGGTGAAACTTTGTCAACAAGAAGGCAATGGCGGTGGAGGGATGCCACCACCAGGTAGTCATCAGGGGCCAGGKAAAAGGCCACCACCACCACCACCTCCTCAATTGAGCTGAAACCACCACGGACATCTGCATCGATATATCTTGTCATTTTGGTCCCAAGCGAATCACGGCTCAGTTTGACGTGCTAAATCCTGGAATCCTTTGGTCTTTTGGTATTTGTGGAGTTTTATTTCATATTCTCTTTTAAAATCATTATAAACGACAGTGTATCCTTGGGTGATGTTTTTCGTGTCTTTAACGCTGTTATCATGATGCGAATTCATGGACAGCGATCACAGACTGCGTCAAACTATTTTATATTATTAATCCTAATGATCACAAGGATTGTTTACCAATGCCCTGGGTTAATTGGAATATAATTAGAGGCATTTGGTGAACAATTATTATTGTGATCTCATCTTTATCCGGTGCATTTTTAACGCTTTGCTCAAATGTTTCACTTTTTATGTGTCGACAGTTTTAAGGAATGGTTTCCCAGTAGTTGCGGATTCCGCGATTTAAAGGGAGACGTGTCCTTTTTATTTATTTTTTTCCTTTTTATCCTGTCCACTTTTCCATCTTATCTTTTTATGTTTTTTGCTTCCATAAAGTCGTATTTTTTCTGCAATTTTCTAGTCGTAGGCTATAATTCCTATAACAAAGAATTAACTGCAGATTACGTTYCCTAAATGGACTCTGTAACGTTATAAGCAACATACTTCAAAGATTGMAGGATAACGTAATGGTCGTCCTTAATAAAACTTGACTCATAAAAAGTGCGACGTTTGATTCGCTRGTTTTTCGCACAACGGTTTTGTATATTGATCTGCTTGTATTGAATCCTCGTTGCGCCGTGGTTGGATATGATAAGCTTTAATCCCCTTCAGCCTTGTGTACATACGTAAGGGYGGCWYTGTTCGCCTTTCAATTATCCATACGTCACTTCCGGGGATGACTTAGTGCTRCGTTCCTTGGAACGGGATGCTACGTCACGAATAAATTATTCTGTCAAATAAATATTTTTATCAATAAAATATAGAGGCATTTATTCGATTGAAGTTAGAAAGAAGGCATGGTCCACTGGTATTAGATTAGAAATTAATACAGCAGCTTCAATAGTGTTTACTATGTAGAATTATAACCGACCGACCGTCCTGCCCGATTCTCACAGTGTCTTCTCCTAGATAATCWAKWGRTGAGGTGCCCGCTTAATAGGGGTTGTCCGTTTTACAGAGGTTTCAGTAGTTAAGTAACAATCTGAAATAATGGTCGGTTACATGAGGTAAATTTCTTATATAGTAGAAGTGACTCCATCGTTTTTGTTTATCTAGGATAGCATTACTGTATATGGGACACCGCTCACGTAATTCGCGACGAAATGTCGGGCAGGGCGGCTGGAAGGTCGTTAAAAGATCATACTATTGACTTTGATTACAARGTCGCTCAGTCCTTTACCATCGGTTACGCTCGCTTTACGATGACATAAACAACTGTTGCTTCAGCTATGTTTAGCCCTTTGTAAACGGCCATGTACGAAAAAAAAACGAATTATTGTCGTTCGCGCACATGAATGGTATGTAAACCGTACATGCAATTTGATGGCCGACCATAGTGTGCTTTCTGCGCATGTTCATTAATGCATGGAAACCTATAGCGAAGCTTTTCGTCGTCGTTGACAAGGGCGTGGTCGTTGGACAGGGCGTCGGGTAATACTAACTGATTACCACTAAATTATTCAGTGTTTTTGATAAGTTTAATTAAGCACTATATATCACTTAATTAATTCCAATGTATAAATTGTGCAGCTTTGACTACTCAAGGTTCAATGTCGACCCTGTTAGTATCAAACTGTTTCGAGTATTTATCTTGCATTGAGGATCGCTTCAACTTGAGCTGTTTTACTAGAACTCGGCATATGTTATTTAATAATTAGTAATATATAGACAAATTGGCCAATTCAATGAAGATCTATATAATTTTTTGAAGTATTATTAGTTCTAGTGAACACRCGAGTTGAATTGTTCTCATAAATCTTATACTATTACATTTTACTTTGCTTATATCCCACTCATTTATTGATGATTTTGTTGTGTTTCGGGGCTTTTACGCTGTCCTCACYAATACCAKCGAAACCTTATTTGTTTGCATTCCGACAAAAAGCGTGAATCAACTGTAGTACTATACTTTAGAAACTTTTAGGACTTTCTTGCCTCCAACGTTGTACATGAACCATTTATATAGTTCATTGAATTGTACAGTACTACACAGATCGGACGTCATAGCCCTTATTTTTCTGACAATTAAATTAATACATACATGAATGCTCAAAGCGTTGTGAATTTGTAACTKWGGAATGGCAGCGGCAATCGCAATGGCGCCGGAAAGAATTCGTCGGACAGTAAGCCGTTTGCGCGATTATATCATTTTGCTACCAAGTCTACCAATACTTCGTCTAYTTTCAATAGTTTGATTCCCAGTTGGGATTTGCAGAATGACTGACAAAACTAAATGACAAASTCGGCARARTGTTCTGGTCTCGGTAGCTTCTGGCGCCATWGTGAAAGTGTGTTGGAGTTGCCCRTATGTGCTTATCAATTATACGAGACTCGAAAATTGCAAGGAAACGTGAGTGTTTATGGSCAGTTTTGYGAAGGATGACCRGATATCTYCATATCAGTTTGGCTCATTTTACGTCAGTTTCTCGCACAYCTGACGTTAACCTGTACGCACARCCCCCTCCCCCCTTCTTTCCCTTACCCGGCTCTTGCATACTCCAGAAGTTTATCATGCGCTTTGGCGATGCACTCACCGTCGGATTTTTGCGTCATTTGGAGTTCTCTGAAAGGAAATGGATCCTTTCTTTATATCACGATCATCGTCCCATGCCGTTTAACACGTTTTTCCATTTTTGTGGCTATCTGCTTCTGAAAGAGGCTAGTCTACTAGCCACCTACATTGTAGCTATCGATWTGAGTTCGGGATTGAGGGACTGGAAACAGCACAGGTAACCCGAAATTACGTCACCATGGCTTTCTATGTAAGGCTCAGTTGATTGAGTGCAAAGTGGCCCAGTTTTCTCAACTACTATTTATGTAATTCATATTCGTCTGGAAGAGCGTAAAAGTGAAGTAGTTTAGCGATGAAATTCCCTCTAAATTGAGTTAACATATATAGTTTATTTTTCTTCAATTTTCGATTCTTATATCCATCAATTTACTGCATAGCGTGAGACCGTCTCACTCGGGGAGAGCGACATGATAGCCCAGAGGAGACGTCTGTATTCAGGCTGACATCTCCATCGTTATAATAAATTTAATTTTTCCTTCACATTTTAAAAAGACCTTACAGCTAGCCACATGCAGTCAACGACTGACTTTAATTAGAATAGTTGAAGACAACAAAAAATGCTGTACGGGGATGTTATATAACGGGTTAAAACTTGCGTGACTTTTGGAATCGCTACGTAGTGTCACGAAATACACTTTCGCATTGATAAAAGCCAAATGTGTTGATTTTGAATTTTCTTGCCTTAATTTATTGATCATAATAACACTGAATCTGTTTATAAAAGTTCGAGTTTAAKTCTTGTAAAACAAATGAAAACCAAACAACATCTGATGAAATCTCAAAGGTCACATAGTATTTGCATATCCTTCTCCTTTGTAACCAATCAACCAACGTCTGGAGACCGGCGTTCACGTGGCCAGGTATTGTTGCATCAGACTGCATCGCCGCTTCCTCGAAACAAGTTGTTTTGCATCCTCGTGGGGCAAATAAGACATTTTCTGGTGTTCTTKAAGCCGTTTTGGTATGTATTATGATCATTGTTAGATATTCAAGAGACTCGTAAAGCTTGGCAGATTTGAACAAGTTAAAGTCACGCGATTTATCGAAGAAAATCGGTTTTTTAACTCGGTTTACTTGTAATTTCGATATTGATTATACACTAATACTCGTTGTATTTTAGTTCAGTCTAGTTTTATTCGTTAGTTTACATATTTCGAAGTAATTTTTATTCCATATTTATGCTAGAAAGACTGAAAGAAAGAAAAAATTACACTCAAAAAATATTTTTGATTCAGACAGCTCAATGACTGGTCGTTTGTTTTATGTGAATATTTTTTGTCAGATTCCTTGTAAGTTACTTGCAATGCTTTACAAGGGATTCCAAATTTCAACGAACCAGAATAATACCGAAAAGACAATTCATAATTGTTCTTTGGTTTCATACATGTCATGTTGCTGGGCAACTGAGCGATTATTGAACAACTTTTTGATCAAATACCTGTCACTAATGAATGTTTAGCGAAAGCACACGTCGCACGTGTTCATATGTTGTTCTTTCTGTATTTCATTCTTGCATGCTCTATAATTAATGAATAATGAACGATGATTATTTTATTAGTCTTATTCTGGGGGCGTGCTGCATATCCTAAAATACACCAAAAAACGTTGTCGTCGCCAGGAATCAGTCCACAGTCTTGAGCCTGCAAAGAATCTCGGGATTGCCATATATTATGTGTTCAATTTCAGTTATTCGAAATACTCCGATTTAGAGTTCTGGTTTGCTCTGTGTTAGCTCCAAAACCAATCAACATATTCTTTTGTTTCATTGATAGCCCGAGAAAACGCATGGAATTTGAAAAGAGAGACAATAGAATTGATTTGAAATCTCACACTTTTATTCTCACAATTAGGAATATTTTGCGAACAAATTAGGCTAACACAGAGCATTGAAGAATACGAAACTGGATTATTCTCGGTCTCATAGCGAATATAGCTTTGAAACTCATTGACGTTTTAAAAACGTGGAATATTCATTTCAATGAGGAAAATGTCTATGGCGAGACTTGTTCGATGGGCCGCAATAGTATATTAGTAGTGTTTGCCGCCATTGAATTCAAACCACAAAATATTTTGAATATATTAATTACGCATGGAAACCCCGAGATTCTTTGCAGGCTCAAGACTGTGGACTGTGTCGTGGTGACGACAACGTTTTTTGAAATAGGTGTATANTTTTATTCGTTAGTTTACATATTTCGAAGTAATTTTTATTCCATATTTATGCTAGAAAGACTGAAAGAAAGAAAAAATTACACTCAAAAAATATTTTTGATTCAGACAGCTCAATGACTGGTCGTTTGTTTTATGTGAATATTTTTTGTCAGATTCCTTGTAAGTTACTTGCAATGCTTTACAAGGGATTCCAAATTTCAACGAACCAGAATAATACCGAAAAGACAATTCATAATTGTTCTTTGGTTTCATACATGTCATGTTGCTGGGCAACTGAGCGATTATTGAACAACTTTTTGATCAAATACCTGTCACTAATGAATGTTTAGCGAAAGCACACGTCGCACGTGTTCATATGTTGTTCTTTCTGTATTTCATTCTTGCATGCTCTATAATTAATGAATAATGAACGATGATTATTTTATTAGTCTTATTCTGGGGGCGTGCTGCATATCCTAAAATATTCTGTGCGCCCGCCATCTAGTCGTTAAATAGCTATAATCCTAGACATTTCTCTTGGGATATGCAAAAGTCCCCTCGCAACGTTGCTTCCATTTTCAAACAGCATTGTAGGTGGGGTAGGGAAGGGGAAATTTGGAAGGGAGGGTAGGTTGCGCATTAAGACGGCACTGGTAAAACATTATAACGTTGATTAAGTGTTGCAAAATGTTTCGTCTATGATGGTATTCCGTTCCCTTTTAAGACACGTGAGACTGYCCCATGCTCMTTTCAATAGYTATAGAGAGCTAATAAAGATTCTTTTATAATAACAGGAACAATTATCAAAATGTGCGGAATTTGGGCYATCTTTGGAATTCCTGACTACCCYAAGTAYGCATCGTATGCAATGAAGATAACAGGGCGTGGTCCGGACTGYTTTCGCATGGAGACCATWCCACATTTCGAGAATTGTTGCCTTGCRTTTCACCGTCTTGCTGTCGTTGACGATCTGTACGGTATGCAGCCAATGAGAGTCAAGAAGTTGCCTCACCTGTACTTACTGTACAATGGAGAAATCTACAATCATAAAATGGTGGAGGAACAGTACGACTTTGATGTTATGACGAAGTGTGATGGTGAAGTCATTCTCCATCTTTACGACAAATTCGGCGCGGAGAAGACGGCTCAGATGCTTGACGGCGTGTTTGCATTCTGCATTATCGACACCAAGAAAAAGCAAGTGCACTTAGGAAGAGACACGTTTGGAGTTCGTCCRATGTTTAGGTTGACAATGAAAGGGATGCTGGAGGCTCCATTGGCAATGTGCTCAGAAATGAAGTCCCTGGTGGACATTGAGAAACACATAGCTGATAACGGACATAAGACTGAACTAGCAGCGTTTCCCCCAGGACATTATGCATCATACAGTATGAGCGCCGATGGATTACTGAGCCTGATTAAAACAGGGCCTTACACCCACATTGGAAAGAGACCTGTCTTTGAGACAAAAGTTCAACCCAAATCCTCCGATCACTTCGAAAATATACGTGTAATTTTCACTGAGGCTGTRAGGAAACGTYTAATGGCTGACCGTCGCATTGGATGTCTCCTCTCAGGCGGTCTGGACTCTAGTTTAGTGGCTGCTTTACTAACRAAGCTGGCTAARGAAGCTGGGATAGATTACCCAATCCAGACGTTCTCCATTGGTATGGAAGGYAGCACTGATGTCATGGCTGCGAGGAAGGTCGCAGCTCATATCAAYAGTGAACACCACGAGGTTACATTTAGCGCGGAAGAAGGTATTCAGGCTCTAAAAGAYGTCATTTACGCCTTGGAATCGTACGATATCACGACCATCCGTGCTTCAGTTGGTATGTACCTAGTGTCCAAGTACATAAGCAAAGAAACAGATACCGTTGTACTGTACTCTGGCGAAGGTTCTGATGAACTATGTCAGGGTTATATCTATTTCCACAAGGCTCCTTCGGCCGACGAAGCAGACGAAGAGACCAGACGCCTTCTCAAAGATCTATACATGTTTGACGTGTTAAGGAGTGATCGTTCAACGGCTGTTCATGGTCTTGAAGTACGTGTACCATTTCTTGATGTCGACTTTACTTCATACTTCCTTTCCCTTCCAGCGGAATTGAGGCAACCGAACAAGGGAATAGAAAAGTGGCTTCTCCGAAGTGCTTTCGATGGAACTGATCTTCTTCCTAAAGATATCTTGTGGAGACCAAAAGAAGCGTTCAGCGATGGAGTCTCGAGCACCGACCCTGGCAAGTCTTGGTTTGAAATTCTTCAGAAATTCGTCTCAAGTCAAGTTCCCGATGAAGCGCTAGCCGAAGCTGAGAAGCTGTACCCATTTAACACTCCCACGACCAAAGAGGCGTTCTACTATCGYCAAATATTTGAAAACTCCTTCAAAGGACACGAGAATCTGATTTCTTATTTCTGGATGCCGAAGTGGATTGAAGCGAAAGATCCCTCTGCAAGAACTCTCTCTCATTACAAGTGACTTRTTACAGTGACTTGTGATTGGCAGTTAACTTAGAACTTATTATAGATAATACTGCAATGGAATATAAGTTATAAAAAGTTGTATCTATATTTCTGCAAATAAAACATGTTGTGTCCCTGAGATCGAGATTGTGGGCAGTTGAGCTCTCGAAAAAGGATGCTTCGATTCAGTTCCAGTTTTTGTTCTTCTTACAAGTGAATGGTATCGTAGTACGTTTTTTATTAGTATTACGAAGGAAAACAGTATTTCCAACACTTAGACCAAAGAAAATAATGGAGACTTGTTTTATTTCGACTATTGCGCGCCATCAACATTTGTCCATATGAATTTGCTCCATCGCTGATACCTMCCAGAGCCACTTCCCACTCCATTCAGGTACTCATGATATAAGGAAATACGAATGTGACATGCAGTTGATTTGTTCAAAGTTGTCATCGAAAAATACTCGGTACTTGACTTTGTTTCATTACTCAGCAGCTGCGACAAACAAGAAGATTTGCTTTAGTTCGTCACGTGACGCTTTTTGGCGGGAAACTGCCGAATTTGTTTGCAAATTGAAGACAGAGGGTCAGGTCGCAGCTCCGTAACATAACTGGTAATTGGTTGGCTCGTGCAACGCAAAGTAAAAATTCCTCGTTCGCTTTCCAATCTGTACGGCTGCAAAAATCAATCTCGGTCGCCTCAGTCCAACAGCTATCAGTACAAAATTTCTTAAATCTCGTTAAATCGTTGTTTTTGTCGTAGTAGCACTTTAAGGAGATGTAAATTTAAATGGGCTCTTAACAGGATGATAAAATTGCAAAATCCTTTAATCCTGGATTACCTCGCGGAGAAGCCAAGTAAGCTTACTAAAAGAGCTAAGAGGAGTTATGATCAGAGGTGGTAAAATCTTAGGCCGATGGCGGTGGATTAGAGATTTCAATGTTTTCGATTCCCTTACTCCGTCGATATTTAAATGGACGCGATGTCTGGAAATAAAGAAATCACTACCTAACAAAACTCTCTCCCGTCCTGGTCCGCCCTATTGAAAAAAGCACCGAAACATATATCGACAGATGGCTGCCGTAATTTTCAACTTGACAGAAAATCCATCCAATTCTATGACGTTTTAACAAGGGGTTCCAAGAATTAATAAAAATTTAATATCTGTGTGAAATTAGTATTAATTTCATAATTTTCAAAAATGTGAAACTAGTTTTCATCGATAATAGCTGTAGAAAACTGAAATGTTTGGAGAAGCTTATATTGAAAATAATGAGCACTGCAAGCTATTCTGATCCGAAAAGGCGAAACATTCAAAGCTACATTGATAAAATATTCTATTTATTTTTTACATGGAAGTAAAAAGCTCGGCACCCGAACTGTAGGCGGGCGGTTCTCCAGGCTCGCAGCTTGACAGATTTTTGTCATGTAATCTTCCTATAGTAACAATTTACGAAAGAGCATTTTGACACGCGAAGTTTGGAAGTAAGTTGTTACCAGTTGTGATCCTTATGGCTTTTTATACTCTTATTTTTCTGACATGACGTAAAATTAAGGCTATTTTGTTATCCCTATATCGAGTACAAATTTATTCAAATATTTCTATTTCTCATTATAGCTTCAACAGTACTGTGAATGCTAGGAATTATAAATGCCAGCAGCGTTTGTTTATTTTTGCGGTAATTATTAATGTACCTAAGTCCTAATCCAGTGTTCAGACTTCTAGTTCTTCTCTATAAACCTCTTTAKTTTTGCTCATTAATGAGACGCAGTTGTTTTTTGAAATCCCTTTTAAATGTATCACACAGTATGTTTTCTTTTTTTCTTCTTTCTCATTGGCTTTAAAATTGACAATTACATTAATAGACACGCAGGGAATCATGGCTTTGCATACAATCCACTTAACTAAACTTTATGTTCAAGACTACATTATTGGATATGATTCGTGCACAACCAGTTTATTTTGAAAAAGAAAAAAACAACAATATTCAAATATTAATCTTGCTCTAGGCCTGGAAGCATCTGATTTAACCCATGGCATATATAAATATCGAATGATCTTTTCCAAACGTTTCATTGGTTGCTTAAGCGGTCGGGAAATCTTCAGTCAAGGCTTTCTTTGACAAACGGTCAGCTTCAAGACGGATAGACGTGATTTCGGACATTATCACTGATATATACGCCAGTAGAAGGATACAAAGGCGACTTTGGCGTCAAGAAGGACAAAAAACTACAAAACCTTCATCTGTGACCATTTGAGTAAGTAATATTAACCAGTTTTATAGATTCATTCATCTGAATGTGTTTTCAAGTAATCCTAAATTGTTCTTCCGTAAAATTTAATCCTTTATATAGTTTCGAATGCGCTACAATGAGAGATCAACTCCATACAGTTGCGTATGTTTAATTGTTTTCGGACATTAAATTCTCCTTTTTTCAAAATGAATATTATAATAGCGTTGGTACTCTCTCATCTGTGTCATCCCGCAACTTCGAGTCCTCTTTCCTGAGAAGGATACAATGAGTTTTTATCAAACTCTCTCWGATTTTCAAGCGCTTGGAGGGATAAAACACTAGAAAAAAACATCAACTGAGCACATTGTGTTGTGCAATCTTTTTTTCGTCGGTTTTTCGTTAGTAAACTTTTTTTATAATGAWGTCATTAAAGTTACGATGCGGTCTCCATACTRTAACTAARTGTCCTACAGCTGAACAAGTCAATGCATMKMGRSSCGGTCGAAAGTCAAGTAGAAATTRAACTTCATATTTTGTAGAGCTATAGCAATGTTTGTCAAAATCATGCAAATATTATGATTTCAAGTCTAGTTTTTACGAGTTATATCAATTTTAATCAAACGGCGCGCCGACAGTACAGTAGAACAACAAATACAGCTCTTTCAACTTACGGAAAGTCTGTGGAAAGTTCATTTCCTGATTGCAATTTAAGTCGTTTAAAGCAACTAGCAATTCCTTTGAAAATTTATTAAATGAAATATTGTTTTGTTTATTTTGCCAGTGTCTTCCCGTGTCGTCCAATAACTTAACTTTTTCAGTRAAAGCAATACAGCGATAAGAAATTTCCGTATTGGGAATACCAGTTGCTAACCCCCACTGCTGTTGAAAAGATATATTTACGAAATACAATAAAACAAACTTAGAGACAAATACTAACTAATGAAAATCTGAAAAAAAGTCTGCAGCGGATTGATGAAAGAAGTCTTTCCCGTTCTCCAAATTAAGTCACTGTTAATGTCGACGATCTAAACAAAAAAACAAAAAAAAAAAAGCATACGATGCCACCAAAAGCTTTTGGTGAAGAATGCATACAAGTGATCCAGTGAACTCAGTTGAAGTTATATCATGAAGAAAACCTGAGTAAATAATGCTACATGTCTCTTTTTATTTAGTAATTAGAACGCTTCATTACTGTTTATTATATTTTCGTATTATATTTCATTATTATATTTGTATTTTTTCCACTATTTTGATTTATCTCTGTCTTTTCCCTTGAAAGTTAGTAGATTATTGAAAATCGAAATCAGTTTTAATAGAATTAACACAATTAGACTGTATTCAGCGTAACTCCCGTACATTTTCCACACAAGAAATGCCCTGKAAAAATGAAAGAGATTTTCCTCATTCACTCATAACATTTTGGTAACAAAATTTCWAATTCTTTTTGAGCGACTCTGCCGGCCTCAGATAAGAGCAATCAATATATTTTTTTCAATTTCAGTTCCAGATATCGGAAAGCTTTATTTGAAATGACACTCCTGAGATTGTATCAATTTTATTATGAAACAATATGCCATCATAGCCACAGGTTATCGTGATAGGAGTTTGTTCTTGATTTTCACTATTTCTATTGTTTAATGAAAAGATTGGAGTGGTTTCCCTTCACTGACCGTATCTACGAGATTAGTTGACTKCACAACTTGTTTTGGTTTCAGTTCTTCATCAACTTGTACAAAATAAAAGGTTTTTTTTTGGTGACACAAACCTTATTAATATTGTTGCTATCCCTTCTTTGATCGCTTGTTTATTATTTACAAAATATTCCTTAACCTCATATCTTACTAGCCTAAATAAATCAATAACCGACAAAGAGCGTGGGATTATTATTATTATATTATTATCAGGCATCAGTTCATAATGTTATTACTAGTATGCCTGCCATTTTTGTTTTTGTTTGTTTGTATTTTTTTTGCTTTGCTTTTTTTCAATGTAGAGTATTATTTTCTTTACACTTAGAACTAGACAAGTTAGATACTTAATAAAGTCTTATTATTTCTATTGAAACCTCACATTAAGAGCGAAAATGCAGTAATGGTCAAATAATTATCATTTGTCCACCACTGAAAGTCACATTAATTTGATTAAAACCGCAAYASCAATTACTCCAGAGTGAAATGAAAAGTGAGTCACGTATCCTTTGCTRACACTATTATTATAGCAATGCATCTCATAACACCACTGTCGGCGACTTCCATTGAAAAGTTATACGCTGCAGAGAATTTAGCCAAATCGTCACACCATTCAATTCYAGTTATAAACGCTCTCTGTACTCAGTATCTTGTCGTYAAGAGACCAGCAGCCACTATAAACAAGCCTTATAAATCCGGTAAGCATAAGCATTGTAGTTGGCCATTTTGTCTTCATTGGAGTGGATATCTGAAAGCCTTCTTAAGTATAGATTTATAACCGTTAGTTTTACAGCTGTTCAATGAGTGTTTGTGCAAAGTAAGGGGCGTCTGAATAATCCAAAATCTTGCTTTTATTTCAAAAATTATTCATTGCTACGAACCGCCATTTTGAATATTACCCAGAAACCCGAGAGGCGATGAAGACACCTGAATACTGTTGCGATGCATCGCCAGGCTCGAAAAAAATAGCTCCATTTCATCAATGAGTCTTTCGTGATCATGTCCCAATTGACGCTTTAATTCTCGTTAGGTAAAAACAAATATCCCATATTTCTAGAATTTATAATCCCAGCTAATCCCAGAATAATTGCTATTCTAATAAGGGCGGATACCAAATAAGTATAAACCCTCTTCTTGCTAATGAGATAATCGAGTCTCTATGGCATAACAGAGTCTATTATACATTGTCTTATAGGTCTCAGTGACCGTATTTTAGCCTTTAATAATTGTATAGATTCGTACTGAGAAACAACATCGAATTGATGACATGCATAGCTAGTAAGAGAAGCCTGCATTTATTATCATGATGTAATGTGCTAAAATTATATATAGCTATCTCTTTTGTTGTATTCAGGCAATGTGCTGCGACCTATATAGAACCGGTGTTTCACAAAGTCAACCGGAACAATAACAGTTGAGTAAGAAGATAAATTTAACAGCGTAAAAAAAAAATAGTTGAAACAAMGTAACTTACTGACGTTTCGGACGTTAATTCTTCGTCGGAGGATTAACAAAGCAACGAAGGATTAACCTACGTACGGCGAAACGTCAATAACTTGTTTCGCCTATTTTTTCCGTTGCCAAAGTTATCTTTTACCGAACTGTTTCTCTAGAAACACCGACGCAGCTCACACTTGTTTACCGCTAGTTTCCACCATTCGGAACAATAACACACTGTTATATGGAGCTAAATATAACTCGGTACAATAAACAATGTTTCACCTCACTGATAAAATGAATGAATTTCAATCGAACTGCTTCGACAATAGGTTGAAAATTCTAACACATTCTTATTTGAACAATTTTAAAATCTTTTCTCATCCATTGCGTGCAGCAAAACCACTCGTTGGATGAATTATATTAAATTACAACGAAATCAGTCTGAAAAAAATTCTTGTCATGAATAATGAATGACAAAAAGGAAAGTTTAATAAGTACGGTTTCGACAGCCAGAGTCGATTTAAAACTGGAGTCATGTTATTTGTTTGCCAGGACATATAATAGACGCAATAGTATAATATTGTCGGACAAAATTGTCAAAACTTGTGCATTTTGATGAAACGTTGATGAAAATGCAAGAAAACAACGAGAAATAACGGAAGAATGACGTGAATTCCATCTCATACATTGTCATAATGTAAGTAGTTCTTTAACCTACCAAACTAAGTAAAACAAATTGCAAGTGTTTTTTTATTATGTGGGTGACAGCTCTAGTCAATTTGTTTCATTAACTGTATTAAGCGCCAGTGRGCTTTATATCGTCGAAATCGACCCAAATCGAAGGTAGAATTTTTAATATATTATAGCATCATAGATAGCGTGTCTACAATAATATTAATSAATRCAGAATTTTTCATGGTACTGACGCTCGCTCTAATTAATCTAAAAAAATTAAGAAATTRAAAATGTGTTTTCCTCGGTATAGATAAGTTTGCTCAGACCTCAAGAATCACTAGTGCGTTTGATAAAACCGATATAATTCAAGGTAATTCAMATTTTTGTCAGCATTGTCGATGACTTTAATCATTTCTGGTTTTGCGCGGCTCGGCTATTTAAAGAGTTTTAAGATTATTGCACAGAAAATAAATCTTCCCACTAGTCGCACGGTTTTCATAATATGTAGGTGTTGAGATAATGTACGATGTTGACTTTGAGACAGTCTGTTTCATATAAGAATATAACTAGCTTTAAGTTGTCATAACGGCACCAGCGTTCATCCAGCTGTCAACGCAGGAGTGAGGTTTCATCTAGCATAGTCTTGTAGCATGGCGATTGTAGAGGGACAATAGCATAGTAGGAACACATAATTTGAGAATTAACTATACAGAAAAAATGATATATTTCGAGTTATTACTATTTGAAAACTATGAAAAAATGATATTTTCTGAGCTACTAAACTCTACATGTATATATTCAAAGATTTCAGTTTATAAACTTTGGTCTTAACGTTAGTGAATTCGTAAACAAAATGTCTGGTCAAGATAATGATTTTCATGAGTTTTGCCTTGTTAGCTCGTTCGGATCCATGTAGCGCACGTCAATGTAGCTCACTTATGTATCGCTGATTCTAGAAGAAGGTTAGGTGAAGTAACAATCATTAAGGGAATTCTTAAGGGGATTTGCTTATAAAGACCAAGACATTTGTGCAATATATTTTTGACGAATCAGAAAACCCCTGAGAGGACTGCATTTCTCATTATGCTTTAATTTACCAAAAGAAAAAGAAAAAAAAGGGAAAAAAAATGACGTCGCTGCACATTGGTTACGTTGCGCAAAGCATTTTGGGCCGACGATTTTCCTCCTTTGAACAAATTCTTATTGCCCAGCTACAGCCTTTGTTTTCCAAATGATATATGTGGTACACCATTGGCAATTATTCTATTTGTTTCACATGCATATTGACCGATTCACAGCAGCGTCCATATTGCTTCAGTATCGAGTGCCATCTTGAAAGGTAACCAAGCCTTTACATCAAAGCCTGCAGTAATACTGAAATTGAGCCTGCAGTAATACTGAAATTGCTTTTATTCACATCGAAGAAAATTATTGACATTTATCTATTACTGTGACTTTAACCGCTGTCTCGTTACAATGCAAAAGATCGCGGTAACTTTTCAATATGGCGCTGGGAACTGCACGATTGATTGGACTACTCCACTTACTTCATAACAATGCAAAATACATACTGTGGGTATGGCTAGGCGCTGACCACCTTTTACTCACTTCAGAAAACAAAGCACGCTACTTTACCTACTGCCCTTTTAACCGCGAGCAGTCGTGTTGATTTTATCCAGAATAATCTTTTAAGTAAGTGATAGCTGTAATAAACACCTAGCTTTGCAGCCATAAGTGTAGAAATGAAAAGTGAMCTTAAAAACGAGTCGAAACGACAATATGAAACTACAAGAGAACGCTGGAGTTGAAAGGTATGCGGTATAGTGTTGAAATAGTGAATTTGATTTGGCGAAATTCATGCTGATCCAAATTTTTATATCAAAATGTAACATTTCAAAAAAAACATACAGCTGTTTTACCATAATCTTATTCTGTAATTACAGACAATCAATATATATGTGCAATAAAAGTTAAGAAGCAAGTAAAAACGAAGGATTTAGCGGTAGAAATTAAAGTGATATTCGCTGAGAACATGTGGAAATGATATATATTAGAGGTAATATTTTTGTAATTGATTCCATAAAATATCAAGTAACATTAGTGGACATTTGTTATAGTAATCCGGCCTAACTATTTCGTGAACGATTTCAACATCCAATCGTATGCGTCCGTTCCACAAACGTCAAATCTCACTATGTCAAAAACAATGTAAGATTAATGAGAATCTTTAGTTTCTGCTCGTGTGATTATCCAAATTCAATTAAACTCGGCAAATTCAGGTATTTAATTCACTTCACAGAGCTGATATCAAAAAGCATTGCATGTCGTTTGATTTATAAGCACTTAAATTTGGTTCTCAAACGAGCATGTTTTTGCTCTCTTCAAAAGACAAAATGGAGCCATGCTTACGAGCACCTTTGTCTCTATGTTTAGTGCACTTGTAATTAAATAAAATATACCATTTTGCGTCTTGTGTGCACAAAACAAGTACCTCCTCAATGCAAAGTGAAGTATGATTTTCGAAAAAACAGGAAAGCTAACTGCATGTTGATATATGCAATCCTTGTAATTAAATCGATTTCATCAGTGTGTATTCATAACATATACGTTAAGACTCTCTTGAAAATAAAAGCCACTCTTCTTAGATCGATCCACATTGCGAAATAAACACTACAATTAATTAAGCATAAAACAAAGAAAAATAACAGTAAAGCCTTGACATAACACATCGACATAATCACAAGCGCAAGCATAAGACCAACAAGCAAGTAAAGGCTGCCTTTTTGTTTTCAAAAATTGTTGTCAATTGTCGACTTTTAAGTCTTCACCTCGCTGTCGACACGATGATTTGCGGCTGTGGAAATTCTGATGTTGAAATATAATGATATTTTGACCCCTCGGAAAGACGCTAGATTCTTTAGTGAAAAATATACAAGCTTCGCTAACCTGGACGCACATGTACAATTCCAAAGATAACAACGTATTTGTTTACATTGGCTTGAACAGGTGTGTAACTTATGCTTACACTGCTTGGGTTAGGTATTCAAACCATGTAGATTCTATTCATCTATAAACTTTCTTATTCAATGATGACTGTGGCTTCGAATAAAATAAAATTTATATAGATTTTGAGTTTGAGTTTTTTTGGTTTGTAACCACATGACCAACAAGTCGTCTGGAAATAAAACAAAGCTCCTATGGCCGCGCCAGGTTGAACGAGTGAAAAAAATGMCGAATGCTTATGTTTTTCATTTGTGCACTGTTGTTGATAGCGTTAATGAGGAAACTAGAGCAACGGTAAAACTCGCTTTTGATTGATCGATTCAAGCCATTATATGGAGCATACTTGTCTTAAGGTTTCTTCTTTGTATTCATCGAAAATTGCCCAGACTCATGCCCAGTGTTCCTCGATTATCGTTCCCTTGATGCAACGCGAGTTCCGATGACAAATCCTTTGCCATGTGAATGTGTAGAGAAGTGACTTCTGGTCCAATTCGACTAGCCTTTAGGGTTGGGGAAAGGGGATGTCAATCTTTGATATGTTTAATTATCTTATCAACACTCGAAGATTGATCGTTATCTCCGCGTGGCAATGTAATATACTCTATGTATTAAAACGTAGTCATCTTTTCGCAGTTTTTTTAGGGTTAGCCGGGGGCGGTTGTGGAGAGACTATAGTTGTCTTATATTCAGTCATTATTGTGACAACATATTTTTGCAGGTAGAATACCGAGATAGAATGTTGACCTTGGTTTAATCAGCTGCACGACGTCTGTTATTGTTTATTTGTCTGTTATTGTTTATTTACTATTGAAAAATCTATTAATAAAGATATTGTTTTTCCTGTCAAAGCTAGGAATACATAATCCTCAAAATACATAAATTCAACCTCCATTGTTCAGGTCATTCCACCTGTTTTTTGCAAAAGAACTTCCAAGCTAATCAAGATAATTTGTCAATTTTTGGTATGATCAAACCGAAAATTACTGAGCAGTAATTTTTCTTGTGGCCTGCTCGTATTTAGGTCTGGATGCGTGGGTTTTTTATCCTCTCGGCATTATAAATACTATTTGGAATAATCCATGATAAATCTCGTACTTTGAAGCGTCTTCAATTACTAAGATAAAAAAAAGGCTTTGATACAAAATTTGATCAAAAGCATCTTTCCGCTGTTATCGCTTACACATCACGTGACGCACCCAATAATTATGGATTATTATAGAGAAATGAGTAACTAAAACTTCGACATTATCAATTTTTATTATCATATGAACATCTCATTTCTAGTTAATCATGTAATTAATTGATGTAATCGATTTTAGCTTGTGCATTGTTTTTTCAATCAGTGGCTTATCGCTGGACTTTTCAACAATTCTCTGTACTAATTACAGTCAGTGTTTCGCTATTAGTGTCATGGGATTTTAAGTCTACTCGCGGTTTTTATCTCAGTAATCCATCAAAGTTATCTGAAAGCAACTATATATAACGTTTGGACTATTTATAAGAAATCGAAATGGTAATAGTTGATTTGGTGGTTCGTGCTGGAAGCCGCGAGTATTTCCCCAACACTTCTCCATTGTCGAGATAGTAACCACCGTCAATTACCTCCACAAAATGATCGACAAGCCCATTRCGATAATCTTAATATTCTAATTAATAGGACTAAATGTGTGGTTTTAAGTCATTTTTAGTAATTCCAAGTCTATTATGATAGTGCGTCTTATCGTCAGAGGCTACGCCCACTCCAAGAGGAAATACCTAATGAAAAGGAAAATATAAGTCGTTAAGAACCATTCATATTTCGATGGCATTGTTTACTCGATTAACAACAGAGATAAGGCACGCTATTCCTTAAAACAAGGCCACTCTTGCATATCGTTTTAAAAAATATATAATTCATAAATGATTCAACATAACCACGGGGTGTTTCTACATATTTGGTGCCTTCGTAATGTTTGTTTGTTTTGTAAAATTGACAGACAAAACCGAACACGATAAGTCGTGTTTATAATAGAACTGGCTTTTAGACAAAAACCTATATATAGTTGCTCTTTGATGCTCAATCGAGGACATATTTTTTCAGTACATTAACTGTACTCTACACACCGGCTCCTCTTTCTCAAAAAAGCGTGCTCTTTGCGCGTGTACAGTTTTAACTATATGTAAATGAGGGGGATTTTATAGGCTTACCAGAATGCCAGCTGTTTTGCTTCCATAGTGTCTGACGAGATCAAAGCTCCGGTGTATCCTTAGAGACCCTGTATATTAGTTTCCGACCAATTACCCACCCGAATTTTCACAACACATTAATTACTAAAAGGCACATTTAAACCTTTTGTGAAAGTGCCCTCCCGAAGTGCGAGTATCTCAAGACGCTAGACAACAGTGGGTAAAAACTCTTACTTATGAGGTACAGAAATGGCAACAACTAGTATGTACACACAGAAATATAATCAATTACTCTTGCAATTTTAATGTTTATTATTTTTACCTTACACTGAAAGTTTAAGATCTTTAAAAATCATTCAGCAATTTAGCTTTATACTTTCTTCAGTGACAATATAACATTGCTTGGAATGTGTATTTATCAAGCATTGTTATTGTAGCTGCAACCAAATTCTCCAAACCGAACTATCACATTCTATTAAAGCTGTTCTAGAGTGTTTTTTTTTAACAGAAAACAACAGATTTTTTCAACAGTTTGTAGTGACATATACAGCCTCACCACCAAACCTAGTGAATCCGAAGACCAAATACGGTTTATTGATAGTGACTATTTTTGAAGTAGAAGGTCTGCAAATGCAGATTTGGTTTCATACTATATCTATGTTTTTGTTTTCACAGCGATGTTTTTCTCTACAGTAATTACAATCTGTTATAGCTTAGAGCAATGATGGGTCTTGATTTAGTATTTTAAAGACAGCAGTCAGATGAGAAATCGGTGCCGAAAACAGCGCAGCTTTGCGATAAGGCTTGTAATTTAACTTGTTTTTACCTAAAAAAATATTGTTCTCAACATGAAAATAGCAGTATTCGATGAAATTTAAGATAAGCCATTTTTAATTTAGCATGTTTTAATGGCGAAAGAAAATATATATATTAATTTTAATATTTGGATTTAGCTTTACATAATTTGAACAAAAAAATATATGTTAGGTTGTTATAAGGTTGTGATGAACGATTGGATCAAAGTTAAACGCGCTAGCGCTATTTTTTTTTTTTTTTTTTTACTCGCTGAATAAAAAAAACATAACTGACGTACGATATATCGTAGTTAGAGGGGGTGGGATGAGAGGGTACTATAAATAAACACCAGTGGGATTTCAAAAAACGTTGCCATCGATATCAATTAATATACTGCATTGATCTGAATTGTACCGCTTTCTTGAATATAAACACTTCAAAAGGGGTACTTGGATAGAAATTAGACTTAAAGTTTTGAAGTTGACGTTAAGATATCTAAATGTGTCTAATAACAATGGAACGACATATTTTTATATAAATCAATACAGATTATTCCTTTAATATTAAAAAAAATATTGGAGTAAACGGACTATTTTCTCAATGCCTTTTGTTCTTCCATATTTTGAGCCAATATTTCGTTGCTGTGAGATGGACCATGAAACCTTTTCCCTGATAAGTTTTTGATAGGTATAAATGGGTCATATATTTTTCAAATATTTGAATTGCTGGAACTTTGAAAATTAGGAAATAATTCAGTTTCACGATCGGCCATAAAGTGGATCATCATCTAAAAAATGCATAATCGGATATTTGATGTTCGACTAATAGCTTTGGCTTCTCAAGCAAT